TCCAACCCCCCCTACTGACCTAACTTCAACCATATCTTCCTTTGTGGACGAACTAAAGTCACTCATCAATCCGCTGATCGCTCTCCTAATTCAAGTAATTACCTCCCTTAATAAAAAAAATGAATAACTCATACACTAATAATTCCTTATCAATTATATTATTCAATGAAAACGATCTAAAAAATCACGTCAATCAACTACAGAGTGTTCTATTCGATAAACGCATCGATATCGCTCTAATCTCCGAAACCCATTTCACTGAGTATTCTTACATATCTATTCCTGGTTATAGCCTAATCAAATCCAACCATCCAGACGGCACAGCTCATGGCGGAGCAGCTATACTCATTAAATCCAATCTTAATTACTACCCACTCGCCAACTACTCTCAAAATAATTTCCAATCATGTACCATCTCAATTACAATTAACAATATCCCTGTTGCTATCGCCGCAATTTATAGTCCACCTAGACATAAACTAACTATTGACAACCTCACGAACTATTTCGACTCAACGGCCAATAACTTTATTATTGGTGGTGATTATAACGCGAAACACCAAAGCTGGGGTTGTCGAGTCACTAACCCTCGTGGAAATTTGCTCTATAATTTCACGAATACGAAAAAATTCAAAATTATTGCTCCCCCTGGGCCAACATATTGGCCAACCTCTGTTAGGAAAAAACCCGACATTCTGGACATTTTCGTCACAAAAATTCCTAGCAATTTATACTATTCAATTAATAATATCCTGGATCTTAACTCTGATCATTCCTCCGTCATTCTCAATATTGATGCCACTCCTCAAACTCGCACTATTAGTCCCCAACTTTTTACGACAGCAACTGATCGTCTTAAATTTCATAACATCATAGCCGATGAAATTAACCTAAAAATAAGCTTAAAATCTGCCCAGGAGATTGACGATGCAGTTGACAATTTAACAACTCTTATTCAATCAGCCGCTTTTAAATCAAACACCATAAGCACCACCACGAACTCAGCTCATAAACCCCCTTTTGTTTCTGAACAAGTCCGCTCATTAATAGTCGAAAAGCGCAGAGCAAGAGCACGTTACCAAACTACTCGGTTACCCTCACATAAAAGTGCATATAATAAATTAGCTAATTCATTAAAAAAATGTTTAGCCAAAAATAAAGCTGACATGTTCGAACAAAAACTGACCTCACTCTCCTCTGTTGATGGGAGTTTATGGCGCGAAACCAAAAAACTACTTCGATATAAACGCCCATCAGTCCCACTCAAAACACCAGATAATTCATTTGCCTTCTCTGACAAGGATAAGGCCGAAGTTTTTAAGGATCATCTTCATGAAACATTCCAACCGCATCATGACATACTCACACCCGAACACATTGACGAGGTAAACACCTACCTAAACCTACCATCTTCAATAAATCGACCAGAAAAATATTTCACCCCGAATGAAGTTAAACAGACCATCCAAAAATACTCTCTAAAAAAGTCACCCGGCTTCGATCTGATTACAGCCGAAGTAGCTAGGTGCCTTCCCAAAAAAACCATAGTACTAATAACATATATTTTTAATGCTACCCTCAGACTTTCATATTTTCCGTTGCTATGGAAATTCTATAAAATAGTTCTGTTTTCAAAGCCTGACAAGCCACTCGATACCCCTACGTCATTCAGACCAATAAGTCTTCTGCCTTTCCTTTCAAAAGTGTTAGAAAGACTTGTTCTAAAACGTATTATCCCACATATTATCACCAACAACATACTTCCGAATACCCAGTTCGGCTTCCGCAACTCACATAGCACGATACATCAATTACATCGTGTTGTTGATGTTATTTCTACATCCCTTGAAAAAAAGCTTTATTGCTCTTGTATTTTTCTAGACGTTGCACAAGCCTTTGACCGGGTTTGGCATGAAGGCCTCCAATTCAAACTTAAAAAATTTTTCCCCACCCCACTATACCTATTAATTAAATCTTATTTAACTGATAGGCATTTCCAAGTCCAATTTAATTCGTCGATACCAGAAATCGCACCAATCAAAGCGGGCGTACCTCAAGGTGGCATACTTTCCCCTTTTCTGTTTAACATTTACGTAGCTGACCAACCCACCATGCAACAAACCATCGTAGCGGATTATGCCGATGACAAAGTCATCTTATCCATCAATGAAGATCCGATAATCGCCTTGTCAAACCTTCAAATACATCTTAACCACCTGTCTGAGTGGTACAAAAAATGGCAAGTGAAAATTAATCAAAACAAATCTACACACACAACATTCACACTTAAACAAGGAATATGTCCAAACATTACTCTCAACAATGTATTAATCCCCACATCCGACACAGTTAAATATTTAGGATTATTCTTTGATAAAAGACTCACATGGAAGAAACACCTCCAAACCAAGCGACTAACCTTGAACAATCACATGCGCATGCTCAGACCTTTACTAATTAGAAATAAGAACTCCACTCTAAACGCCAAACTAACAATCTACAAAGCGCTACTCAAACCAATATGGACATGTGGACTTCAATTGTGGGGTGCAGCAAAAAAATCAAATACTAACAGAATCCAAACTTTCCAAAACATTTCACTCCGACGATTATCAAATGCTCCGCCCTATATTTCAAACCACGCTCTTCATAATGATTTCCATATGAAAACAATAGCTGAGGAAGCACGCACTTCCTACAAACGATTCCATAAACGACTCCAAACTCATCCTAACCTTCTCATAAATGATATTTCCATCCTCACTCTCCCAGGAAATCCCAATCGCAGACTAAAAAGGAACTGGTGCCGTGACCTCTTAGAAAACTTTAACGTCTAACGATCAAAAAAAAAAAAAAAAAAAACATAAAAAAATCTAACTAATCAAAGCCAAGAGTCACTAATGGGTGGTTGCTTAACTCACAAACTTTCATGTCTTTAAATAACTCTCAGCATATAAACTTATTGTACAAAAACTGTATAGATTGTTTATTTCAAATAAAGAAAAAAAAAATTTACCTTATGCATTCTTCATCGTATATAGTTCTTAAACGAGTAGTTTCTTGTGTAGCTCTTAATAGTAAAATTTTCCTAAATTTAATTTTTTCATGCATTAGTAGGCAAACAATTAGGACTGTGGTCTTTACCACTTAAAATAGAACCATTTTGCCTAATTGATGCCGATACTTTGCAAAATGTTTGGTAGCAAGTCAAATAACTAAAATAAAAAATATATTAAAGATTTATTAATTTAATCAATAAAAATCAATATACAAAATTCAAAGTTAAGTTAATTATCAAGTATGAACAAACACAACTTACCGAACTCCCTTACGTTCACCACCATTACCTTTGTATAAAAAACCTTTGTCGTCCTCAATGCGATTCATTATTACAATATTATTTTGTAACCTACACGAGAGGGACGTTATTATTTAATATGTATGATAGCCAAGAACAACTGAACAACTGCGAAGACGTGAAATCGTGAAGCATAAACGTTGTTAGACAAATCGCCAAATAAACACGATAACAAAAATAACATTACATACACATGAACAATAAATTTGGATTTCCCTGTATTGTTTTTCAGTGCATATTATTTTACTTCATTATTTTAACCGTCTTCTCGGTAAGAGGTGCGTGATTGGCTTGCCGATCGCCGGCAATAACATTCTGAGAATTACAGCGCGATTGGGGGTAGAGCTTATTTTCCACGCTCCATTGCTCTCATTAAAATATTAAATATTAGATATCAAACAAACATGGGTCAGTCATTAGAATAGAAATTATAATTTATATAACAATATCAGTGGCGTAAGCGTAATATCAGTTTTTAATAGCATGGGGCAAAAGTATTTAGTATACTAATACATGGCTAAATATTTGAATAATATAATGTTGATAGGAATTGTGAACCACAAGGAAAATTCTTCACCTTTTCGTCAATAAACTCTCATCAAATTTAGCCACTGTATAACTTGTTAATACTGATTGTAAATATTCTAAATTTGTTATTCCATAAAAAAAAGGCATATGTGTACGTGTACTTGTATATTATATAATAGTAAATTATATTATGACATATATATGCAATTATTTATCTGTGTAGTTTGCATTCTGAATCTTAATACATATATGTGTATAGTGTATATATTAGTACCTAGCATAGGCGTGCGCAGGGCCGTCGTTAAGGGTAGGCAGTGCCTAGGGCCTCGCGCTTGTAGGGGCCTCGCAATTCGCACTTAAATTTGATACCAAAATATTGTTCAAAATTATTAAATTTTTTAGTTTTGTATTGATATTATTTGTTTAATCGAATGATTAGAATGAACAAATAAGTAAATGAAAGTAAATAACAAATAAGTAAATTTGTATTGTGTATGGTGACAAATATTATGCTGTTGAGTTTTAATTTATATTGGGTATTGTAGTTTAGTTTAAATTTAGTGCAATACCGCCAGTACCTAAACATTATTTTTAGTATATTATTATTGTCGTTGTAGACGTCTTGTAGCCTACACTCTTACCAGTGGCACGTCAAAAATCAAGATAACGTAATTATCGCTATTAATGACTAACCAATACGGGTATACGCCGTGCTGTACGCTCGTCGCTCGTGGATATTAATAGCTATTAGCTTTATGTATATACTGTATATATTATATACATTATACATGTATTTATATTTGATTATTATAGTATAAATAGTATAATATAATATTAAGTCAATAGAATTCGACGAGTTGTTTCACATTTCTATTTCGTCAGTCGCGGCAGATGAATCCCCGGACTCCTTATGTAAGTAATATTATTATTTATACAAACGACGACGTTATTTAATATAGGTAGTTAAGCAACGTTTAGTTATTAAAAAAATTAATTTTATCATAATATAAGTACTAAGGTACCTTATGTTGATACGGTGCAGTAGGACTGCCCGTGTCGTAGAATAAAGTCAACACAATGAGGTATTGGTATTACGTCCTTTTATTGTGTTAAAATGAATAATGTACGTGAATATAAGTGCCCAATGGGCAGTCTTCGTCGGTGGCTGCCGTGCCACTGTTGGGATTGGTTGAGCTCCGCGTCTGGACTCGGTTTACCCGAGTGGACTGGTTGTTCTCTCCTGTTGCCGGTTCTGCGTCGCTGGTGGATCACCGTCGTTGTGAGGGGTTCCCAGGTCGTCCGTGGTTCGTGGGTCGTTTCCTCAGCGTCGGTAATTATTACCGGTCGGTTGAATTGGGCAGGAGTTGATTCTCCGTTCCCTATGTCTGGTGGTTGTGTTTGGTGTCGTCGTGCCGGCGGCGTGTCAAGTCGATGTCGTTGGCTTTGGTATCGACAGTGAAGTGGAATCGCCGAAGATCGACTACGTCGATTGAGGTTCGTGAGGTCTGCGTCTAGTCGCTCGACGGATTCCTCGTCGCGGCCGTGGCTCTGGTGGTTGGGGCTCTGAATGCGTCGATTGATATGGCTAGCCGGGTCGTCTCCGTCACGTTGTTCCGTGGTTGCAAGCTGCTCGGTGGTCGGACTGGTCGGAGTCGTCAGCTATCTCGTTGTCGGTGGCGGTCAGGGCTGGAATCTGGCTGTGAGTGGTCTTCTTTCTTCTGTTCTTCCGTACAAGTTATGTTGTTGACTGTTTGAGAAGATATTGAAGACTGATTGAAGAAGATGATTGTTCTTTGCTTTGCTTTAAGAGGGATGGCTATGCCGTTAACTATTCCAGGCTTATGCCTCTACTAGTGGATGGAAATTAAAAGAAATGGTTTATTTATTGGTCTGCCCAAGAGAGTGGGTAGGGCTTCAATTTACGTTTAGTATTTGGGGGAGGGTGTGTTTTACCTAGAAGTCGGATGTGAGCATGATTCGAGAAAGAATTATTGTAGAACATTGATTTGGTTTGGGAACGAATGGAGTTTTGAATAGATTTGAAATTTGTCGATTTTAGAAGGACCGAATTTCTAACGATGGTGGGCATACGCGTTATAGTGCGTATGCCGATGTTTTGGACGGATTCGATGCGGTTCCATTGAGAGGGTCCTATAAAGGGTGCCCAAGAAGAGCCAGCGTACGTTAGGAAAGGTGAGACGTAAAGTTTAAGTATGTTAAGTTTCGTTGTCGTTGGGACGGGGCTAGTGCGGTTTAGTATGGGGTAAAGCATACCTCGGATGCGGGTAGCCTTTTTGGTGATGTTTTGTATGTGTTTGCCGAAAGTGAGTTTGCGCCCGATGGTGACGCCGAGGTATTTTGCTTTGTCGGACCAGTTAATGGAGTGGTTGTCGAGTAGTAGTGGTGGTACGTGGGTGGTATTTGAGTGTCCGAAAATGATACCTACAGTTTTGGTCGCGTTTATTTTGATTCGCCATCGGTGAAACCATGTGGTTGCAAGGTTAAGTTGGTGTTGTAACTGTATGGCTGCTCGTTTTTGGTTGTGGTCGTAAGTAAAGAACATCGTGTCGTCGGCGAATAACGAGAGATGAGCTTTTGAAGTCGTCGGAATGTCGTTTATGTAGGTCAAGTAGAGAGTTGGTGATAGGCAGGATCCCTGAGGGACTCCTGCGAGAATGTGTCTGGTGGACGAGAAGGAGTCTTCGATTTTAGCGATAAAAGTGCGGTCGGTGAGAAAGGATGCGATGATTTTAATGATTTCGGTCGGGATGTTGAGTTGAGAAAGTTTGTATAGGAGTCCGGCGTGCCAGACTCTGTCGAAAGATTGTTCGGTGAATTGTCCCGGTATATATACCTTCTAATTCACCGTCGACGAATCTGATTGGCTGTTCGGGTGCCGTATGACAAGTTAAAACCGTACGGTTTCCTGGTGGTTGCCTTTGGTTTGGTACGGTTTTCCCTCGTCATACTAATGAAATATACTTCTGTAAAATCCACCTTTTGTTATGGCACCCCGCGTGGTTATGTGTCGGTCTAACTTGGTGGTGGTCCTGAAAAGGACCGTTTTGAGTTATACTCCGTTACAATGTATTGAGGAAAAAATGAAAAATAGGAATCTTTAATTAACGTTCAATGAATCACCTTTTGTCCCGTCTCCCGTGTTTTTTTTTAAATATTCTATTTAAATTTCTCAACTATTATAGAATCAGTCATCTTAGATATTACAAGGGTGGCCAAACCTCGGATCGTATTGACTCATGTGGCTAGCGTTTTAACATTTCCACTACTATAATAATAGTACCGATTATTCCTTTTTCTGTGTAACCCGTAACATGCACTTCTACAGTTCTACGATTATTCTTAAGGAAGCACGAAACACAAAAAAAAAATGTCTTTACATTTTTTTAAATGTTAAATTATTGTAGCTATCGGTATGGAATGATTTGGTGAAAATCCGATGTAAAAAAAATTATTACCTACTTTATGAGAAATTAAGAAATGTAGATTAGCCACGTGACGTCATTAGGCCCGGCTGCGTATTTTACAAAATATGTAGGTACATATCAGAATTTCAATATAAAATGTATTTGTTTGAATATTAAAAATCTTAAAATTGATATTTTTGTTAAACGGCGCGCCATACTGATTTAAATACGAAATAAAAAATAAAAATATCTCCTTTAAGATTTTTATTATTAAGAAACTAAACGTTATATTGAAATACTGATACTTGTATCGTCTTAAATACATAAAACCACACATTTATACGTAAATTAAATTTAAAAAATAAAATATTTAGGGTGGTAAATCGTTGTGTGCAGCGAGAAACTTTTACACGTATAAGATAGGTAATTACGAGGAGACTGGGCCCAATGACGCCCCGTGTCTTTTTTCAATTTCTCATAACATATTGAATAATGCGAGTAGAAATGTAAAACCTATAACATTATTCTTAGAATTAATCATTCTTTCAAATAAAAAAAACTTATTTTTTGTGTTGTGTGCTCCTTTATTACAATTATTTTAATGTTATTGCCATATTTAAATGAATTAGGTATTTTTAATTGGTTGACTACTAGGGGCATCAAAAAAATATTTGCCTCGGGAATCCAGAAGTCTAAATCTGGCCCTAGTATCCATATTTTAAACTCAATACTTAAATGTATAATTCAAGATTAATATTTTATTATTATTAAGTGATACAATTAGATAAAAAATTGATACTTAGGTACATATTATAATTTACAGAAACACAGGAAGTTATTTATTAATTATTCAATTATTGGTAATTATGGCTAGTCGTGATCGTGATAAATTTAGATCACATCCTTCAGGTCATCAAAAACGGTGCATTCATGCATTCAAGCATTCATGCAAAAACAACGTGGATGTTTTGAAAAGTTTGTCAGTAAAAAAATGAAGATTTATTGGGTGGAGTAAACTCGGTTAGTAAAAATGATGGAATAGAAAACACAGATATGGATTGTGAAGTTCGGGAAGAGTCTAATGTAAATGAAAATATTACTGGGTTGCAAATTGTTCATAATCTTACACCATCTCTTGATGTTCATTATTTATTGGATGGAGTAAACTCGGTTAATAAAAATGATGGAATAGAAAACACAGATGTGGATTGTGAAGTTCAGGAAGTGTCTAATGTAAATAAAAATATTACTGGGTTGCAAAATGTTCAAAATCTTACATCACCTCTTGATGTTCAAGAAACACAAAATACTTTGAACGATAGATATGTTTATGATTTAAATGATCCTGGATGTTGGCCTTCAGAAATCACTCATAATATTCGAATAGAAATTGTATCTTTAGGTGTAAAAAGAAATACACATCAAGAGTTTCCTGCTAATAATGAAAACCCACCAAGAAAGTTTACTTCTTATCATTTCTATCGAACTATGTCTAACGGTGAACGCGTCGATAGAGAATGGTTAATATATTCAAATAAAAAGGATTGTGTATACTGCTTTTGCTGCAAACTCTTTTAAAAAAAAATTGTACTAGTGGCTTATCTTTAAACGGTATCAACGATTGGAAAAATATAAGTTATTCTCTTAAAATACATGAACAATCGATTAATCATTGTCAATCACTTAAAGATTGGTTAGAACTTAAAACAAGATTATTGTCATCACAAACAATTGACAAAGAACATTTAGCGATGTTGGAAAAAGAAAAGAACCACTGGCGCAATGTACTTAAAAGAATTATATGTACCGTGCAATTTTTATCTAAACACAATGATGCATTTAGGGGTTCATCTGATAAAGTTTGTGCAAAAAATAATGGGAAATTCCTCGGGCTTATCGAAATGATGGCATCATTCGACGATGTCATGGCAGAACACATTCGAAGAATAAATAATCAAGAAACTCATGATCATTACCTTGGACCAGAAATTCAAAATGAATTGATAGAACAAATGTCGAGTAAAGTACGTGAAAATATAGTTAAAATAATAAAAAGTGCAAAATATTTCTCAATCATGATGGATTGCACCCCGGATGTAAGTCACCAAGAACAACTTTCATTGATTATTCGAATAGTTAATTTAGAATTAGAAAGCGAAACTTCAGCACCAAAAATCGAAGAATATTTTTTAGATTTCATAAGCGATGAATCAACTACTGGTTTACATTTAGCAAACTTACTTGTTTCAAAATTACAAGAATATAATATTGACCTTCTGGCCAAACAACTTAACTCTAGAGCATTTTTTACTCCATGTGCATCACACAACTTAAATCTATTACTAGGAGATATTTCCAAAAGTTCCACAAAGGCAATTAGTTTTTTTGGAATAGTACAGAGAATATATTGTTTGTTTTCTTCTTCAACAAAACGTTGGAGTATTTTAAAAAAACATTGCCAAGAACTCACATTAAAACCCTTGTCTGAAACCCGATGGGAATGCAGAGTAGAAAGCATTAAAGCTATTCGGTATCAAATACCTGGAGTTATAAAAGCATTAGAAGAGGTTTCAGAAGTTACAAATGACCCTAAAACTAAGAGCGAAGCCAATTCTTTGGTTAGTCATGGAATTGGTGACTATGAATTTATTTTAAGTCTAGTTATATGGTATGATATTTTGGTGCAAGTAAATATGGTAAGCAAATCATTACAATCTATAAATACAAATTTGCAAATATCGACGAGTATGTTGAATAGCTTATTAGATTTTTTAAAAAAATACAGAACAAATTGTCATGGATTTGAAAATGCGAAAATCACAGCTAATGAATTAGCAAAGAATTTAGATGTTGAACCAGTATTTGCTCAAAAAAGATATAAAAAAGCTAAAAAAATTTTTGATTATGAGAGGAATAATGATTTACATAGGAATAATGGTGAAGAAATATTTAAACAAGAATATTTTATTGTTATTCTAGATCAGGCTATTGTTTCAATGGAAGAAAGATTTATACAATTTAGGTGGTATGAAGA